CCACTACTTACTACAGTCATCAATCATTACCCACTACTTACTACAGTCATCAATCATCACCCACTACTTACTACAGACATCAATCATCACCCACTACTTACTAGTCATCAGATCATTAATCATTACCCACTACTTACTACAGACATCAATCATTACCCACTACTTACTACAGTCATCAATCATTACCCACTACTTACTACAGTCATCAATCATTACCCACTACTTACTACAGTCATCAATCATTACCCACTACTTACTACAGTCATCAATCATTACCCACTACTTACTACAGTCATCAATCATTACCCACTACTTACTACAGTCATCAATCATTACCCACTACTTACTACAGTCATCAATCATTACCCACTACTTACTACAGTCATCAATCATTACCCACTACTTACATTACTAGTCATCAATCATTACCCACTACTTACTACAGTCATCAATCATTACCCACTACTTACTACAGTCATCAATCATTACCCACTACTTACTACAGTCATCAATCATCACCCACTACTTACTACAGTCATCAATCATTACCCACTACTTACTACAGTCATCAATCATTACCCACTACTTACTACAGTCATCAATCATTACCCACTACTTACTACAGTCATCAATCATTACCCACTACTTACTACAGTCATCAATCATTACCCACTACTTACTACAGTCATCAATCATTACCCACTACTTACTACAGTCATCAATCATTACCCACTACTTACTACAGTCATCAATCATTACCCACTACTTACTACAGTCATCAATCATTACCCACTACTTACTACAGTCATCAATCATTACCCACTACTTACTAGTCATCAATCATTACCCACTACTTACTACAGTCATCAATCATTACCCACTACTTACTACAGTCATCAATCATTACCCACTACTTACTACAGTCATCAATCATTACCCACTACTTACTACAGTCATCAATCATCACCCACTACTTACTACAGTCATCAATCATTACCCACTACTTACTACAGACATCAATCATTACCCACTACTTACTACAGACATCAATCATTACCCACTACTTACTACAGACATCAATCATTACCCACTACTTACTAGTCATTACCCACTACTTACTACAGACATCAATCATTACCCACTACTTACTACAGTCATCAATCATTACCCACTACTTACTACAGTCATCAATCATTACCCACTACTTACTACAGACATCAATCATTACCCACTACTTACTAGTCATCAATCATTACCCACTACTTACTACAGTCATCAATCATTACCCACTACTTACTAGTCATCAATCATTACCCACTACTTACTACAGTCATCAATCATTACCCACTACTTACTACAGTCATCAATCATTACCCACTACTTACTACAGTCATCAATCATTACCCACTACTTACTACAGTCATCAATCATTACCCACTACTTACTACAGTCATCAATCATTACCCACTACTTACTACAGTCATCAATCATTACCCACTACTTACTACAGTCATCAATCATTACCCACTACTTACTACAGTCATCAATCATTACCCACTACTTACTACAGTCATCAATCATTACCCACTACTTACTAGTCATCAATCATTACCCACTAGTCATCAATCATTACCCACTACTTACTACAGTCATCAATCATTACCCACTATTTACTACAGACATCAATCATTACCCACTACTTACTACAGTCATCAATCATTACCCACTACTTACTAGTCATCAATCATTACCCACTACTTACTACAGTCATCAATCATTACCCACTACTTACTACAGTCATCAATCATTACCCACTACTTACTACAGTCATCAATCATTACCCACTACTTACTACAGTCATCAATCATTACCCACTACTTACTACAGTCATCAATCATTACCCACTACTTACTACAGTCATCAATCATTACCCACTACTTACTACAGTCATCAATCATTACCCACTACTTACTACAGTCATCAATCATTACCCACTACTTACTACAGTCATCAATCATTACCCACTACTTACTACAGTCATCAATCATTACCCACTACTTACTAGTCATCAATCATTACCCACTACTTACTACAGTCATCAATCATTACCCACTACTTACTACAGTCATCAATCATTACCCACTACTTACTACAGTCATCAATCATTACCCACTACTTACTACAGTCATCAATCATTACCCACTACTTACTACAGACATCAATCATTACCCACTACTTACTACAGTCATCAATCATTACCCACTACTTACTACAGTCATCAATCATTACCCACTACTTACTACAGTCATCAATCATTACCCACTAGTCATCAATCATTACCCACTACTTACTACAGTCATCAATCATTACCCACTACTTACTACAGTCATCAATCATTACCCACTACTTACTACAGTCATCAATCATTACCCACTACTTACTACAGTCATCAATCATTACCCACTACTTACTAGTCATCAATCATTACCCACTACTTACTACAGTCATCAATCATTACCCACTACTTACTACAGTCATCAATCATTACCCACTACTTACTACAGTCATCAATCATTACCCACTACTTACTACAGTCATCAATCATTACCCACTACTTACTACAGTCATCAATCATTACCCACTAGTCATCAATCATAACACACTACTAGCTATAATCATAATCATTACACATAGTTACCCATCAATCAGTTACGACAGTCATCAATCATTACCCACACTAGTCATCAATCATAACCCACAACTTGCTATAGACATTAAACATTACCCAATAGTTACTACAGTCATCAATCATTACCCACTAGTCATCAATCATTACCCACTACTTACTACAGTCATCAATCATTACCCACTACTTACTACAGTCATCAATCATTACCCACTACTTACTACAGTCATCAATCATTACCCACTACTTACTACAGTCATCAATCATTACCCACTACTTACTACAGTCATCAATCACTACCCACTACTTACTACAGTCATCAATCATTACCCACTACTTACTACAGTCATCAATCATTACCCACTACTTACTACAGACATCAATCATTACCCACTGCTTACTACAGTCATCAATCATTACCCACTACTTACTACAGTCATCAATCATTACCCACTACTTACTACAGTCATCAATCATTACCCACTACTTACTACAGTCATCAATCATTACCCACTACTTACTAGTCATCAATCATTACCCACTACTTACTACAGTCATCAATCATTACCCACTACTTACTACAGTCATCAATCATTACCCACTACTTACTACAGTCATCAATCATTACCCACTACTTACTACAGTCATCAATCATTACCCACTACTTACTACAGTCATCAATCATTACCCACTACTTACTAGTCATCAATCATTACCCACTACTTACTAGTCATCAATCATTACCCACTACTTACTACAGTCATCAATCATCACCCACTACTTACTAGTCATCAATCATTACCCACTACTTACTACAGTCATCAATCATTACCCACTAGTCATCAATCATTACCCACTACTTACTACAGTCATCAATCATTACCCACTACTTACTACAGTCATCAATCATTACCCACTACTTACTAGTCATCAATCATTACCCACTACTTACTACAGTCATCAATCATTACCCACTACTTACTACAGTCATCAATCATTACCCACTACTTACTAGTCATCAATCATTACCCACTACTTACTACAGTCATCAATCATTACCCACTACTTACTACAGTCATCAATCATTACCCACTACTTACTAGTCATCAATCATTACCCACTACTTACTACAGACATCAATCATTACCCACTACTTACTAGTCATCAATCATTACCCACACTAATCATCAATCATTACCCACTACTTACTAGTCATCAATCATTACCCACTACTTACTATAGTCATCAATCATTACCCACTACTTACTAGTCATCAATCATTACCCACTACTTACTAGTCATCAATCATTACCCACTACTTACTACAGTCATCAATCATTACCCACTACTTACTACAGTCATCAATCATTACCCACTACTTACTACAGTCATCAATCATTACCCACTACTTACTAAAGTCATCAATCATTACCCACTACTTACTACAGTCATCAATCATTACCCACTACTTACTACAGTCATCAATCATTACCCACTACTTACTACAGTCATCAATCATTACCCACTACTTACTACAGTCATCAATCATTACCCACTACTTACTATAGTCATCAATCATTACCCACTACTTACTACAGTCATCAATCATTACCCACTACTTACTACAGTCATCAATCATTACCCACTACTTACTACAGTCATCAATCATTACCCACTACTTACTACAGTCATCAATCATTACCCACTACTTACTACAGTCATCAATCATTACCCACTACTTACTACAGTCATCAATCATTACCCACTACTTACTACAGTCATCAATCATTACCCACTACTTACTACAGTCATCAATCATTACCCACTACTTACTACAGTCATCAATCATTACCCACTACTTACTACAGTCATCAATCATTACCCACTACTTACTACAGTCATCAATCATTACCCACTACTTACTACAGACATCAATCATTACCCACTACTTACTACAGACATCAATCATTACCCACTATTTACTACAGACATCAATCACTAACCACTACTTCATGAACATGAAAAAATTCTCAATTTATTGCATTATTCGGCAAGTTCATCTTTCCATCTAGATTTTGATTTGATTTTTTTCGATGACTCTCTTTGTTTCCTCAGTCGCCTTCTAGGTTTCAAAAATTAAGCCTTTAGCGTAACAGACGGGTCCTAGAAGGAAAAACGATGATCCATAACAGATGGAGTTTAAATCATTATTATACATTGCAGTATATAATTCTTAGTTAAAAGGTTGCAATGTGCTATGTCTGTTTTGTACAAAGCTAACCTATATTTCTAGCACTATGTGTTAGCGACGTACCCTCTAGCATCATCAGTCCAGTAGGGACAGAAGAACCCCTCCAGAGCCGGTACAAAGTAACAGTCATCAGAGTCCTCTACCGACCCTGCTAGTTCCTCTAAAACCGAAACAATCACAATAAATGGTCGGTAATTTGTGGTGGACAGCCATAGCAGCAAATTATTGTGGCATCCTAAAATTTCACTAATCTTAGGTAAGTTAAGTAAAGGAACCAATCGATGTAATTGTGATAGAAATTTTACCGCTGCGGAAAAGAAATAAATCATATTATAATTTCATATTTTTAATGTTTATATATCTATACGAGATTTGTGGAAATGTTATGCTGTGTTATTTGATACAATTCTAATATGATACATCATTTCAACAATTTTGCAAGCAAGACTCAATCAAAGGATTATCAACCTACAATTGTTGACCTGTTTTCAGGTGAATACGATGGTTAATACAACCCGAGAAAGCGACCTCCCCCGTTCATTCTATTTTTTATCCACCATCACTTTATTAAGTTTACTAATGCTACATGATGTGTATATCACTGTAAACTATAATATACAAAGTTTAATACAGATAATCATTTACTGTTTATTGCACATCATAAAAAACATTCACCAAAATATAAATATATATCACATACTTTTTATGCCATCTAATTATTTACCATACATTATGCTTACCATTGAACTATTTACCACACATTATACTTACCATTGAACTATTTACCACATATTATACTTACCATTGAACTATTTACCATATATTATAATTACCATTGAACAATTTACCATATATTATACCATTGAACTATTTACCATATATTATACCATTGAACTATTTACCACACATTATACTTACCATTGAAATATTTACCATATATTATACTTACCATTGAACTATTTACCACACATTGCACTTACCATTCAACTATTTACCATATATTATACTTACCATTCAACTATTTACCACACATTACACTTACCATTCAACTATTCACCACATATTATACTTACCATTGAGCTATTCATAACATAGCATATATATATCATTGAATTATTGACTACATGTTAGATATACCAAATACCGATTTCAGATGCTTTGGAAATCATTCCTAGATTGTCCCTGATCCATTTAATCACACTTCCACATGATGCAACCACACCCTATCAATGAACGTATAAAGAGTACCGTAAGCAATATAAAATCATTTCTCAGAAAGGTAAGTTAGTGAATTGTATTTTCTAATTAATAGAGAAAATTGTCATTCGTTACTGTGTCTGTACAGAAATTTAATTCTAAAAATCTTCTTCATTTGATGGAGTACAGGGAAGTAGTAAACATACCTCTAGCATATAGACGGCCGGGTTCCCTTTCCCAAGCTGGTACAAAGGACTAGTCAGCAACCCGTGGCTAGATATCACTAACTGAAATGATAAAACAAATTTACAAAAATTGTTTTGTTCACTAAAGAGTCACTCTAGCAGCAAGCTGAACAAGCCAGTCCTTCCTCACGAAGTAAAATGACTCACATCAATATGACAAGCTTTTTCAATGGTGGTTAGTATTCTTGAAACAAACTTATGGACTCATATTGAAGCCTTCAAAATGTCCAGTAGCGAAAAGATTCTTGTCGGAAGCGTTCGGGCTAATTCCTTCATCAAAATCTTAAAGTTTGAATGTATTTTGGATGATGTTTTGTCCCTGTATCTACTGGATCCATTGTGACGTTAAAATTCAACCATGCTGTGCCTGTAAGTGACATCACGTGACTATATATTCATTGTTGAAAGTGTTAAATGTCTACTATTGAGGATAATCATATTACCTCATAAGAAGTTATGACGTCAATATGAACTCACGTGACTTCTTGAAATATTACCTTTGTTCCGGTATTTATATTGAGTGAAGCGACCGTACCATATCTACAAAATAAAACAGCTAGTATTATTCAGTGACAATAAAGACACAATGTAAAATTTCGTTCAATTCTCAGTATATTTTCTATTGATATTCAGCAACAATAAAGCAGCTTTCCCTGTTGGTATCCTCCACGTGGATTCCTGGTCAAGATAATGACATGAGTTTTTTATGTACTTATTTTGTAAAAGTAAAACCCTTATTAACCAGATAATTGATTTACAATATGCATGTAGGATACCTTTCCTGCCACCAAAATACAAATGTTTTGATTACAGCTATTGTAAATTAATAATTCATCACCAACTTTGTCTCCTGTAACACTTTATGTCTGTCAGAACTTTGTGTAATACATAGATCAAATTCAAGATATTTTGAATTTTCTCGATCACGATACGATAAAGTTGGCTTGCTTTTCTTACGTGCATTTTGACTCCCCTGGTTTGAAACAAAGCTGACCGATTGTGGCTGCCGGCTGGTCACCTGCCATCTGTGAAGAACATAAACATACCTAAACACATCATTTATTGAATGATATCTGTTCTGATAGGATGAGGGCTTTCATCGACGTTATCAACCACGAACACGTATTTTAAAATCAAGTAATGCCACGTTCTCAAAATAAGCTGTGGGATAGTGACAACGAACTCATTAGTATGATAAGAACAATGCAAAATAACGAATACAAATTGAATATTTAAATGAAAATTTGATCAGATATCATTGAAGAGGGAATAGGCATTTCTGTACAGTAGAGTGTCTTGGTTCTTAAGAGAAAGTGTACGCCATAACCCAAAAAAATAAACATCGAATAATTAAGAGTTTTCCTACCCCAGACAATGGAATTCCTTTAAACGACCCTTCGTTCACGTAGCCATATACCTCCGATGTACTGTGAATGTCGGGCAGAATTGATGTAGGAACGTTAAATGTTCTGTTGATTAAAAGATACAATCGAATAATCATTCGAGATAAAACAAAAAGAATGTCATATAGAAAATAAAAAACAGTAACTGACAAACTCTGCTAAAGAAACAATTCCCTTACCACACACCCTTACTCACAAAAATGGGAGAAGAAATATGAAACACGTGACTTGATATCAACACATGTTCTTGAAACATTTAATCATCATCCATCAAATGAAAGCAGGAAGAAAAAGCATAATGTTACTTCTGTTTATTTCTATTACTGAATAACAGTTTTTGTAATCGTTCCAGTTTTGTCTTATATCGTTATTTAGTGTGATGTTTTTGTTTCTGATATATAGTACACAGCTATTTGAATTAACATGCATTCCATCCACAGTGAGTTCACAGCTATTTCCCATTTAATCTACACTTTAATACATTTCAACAGTTGCACGGTTTATATACATGTACCTGATATTGCTTGTTATAAAATCTATGGAAATCACGAAATCACGTTGAATTATCGGACTGGTTATCTAGATATTGACCTTGCTTTCGATCACTTTGAATTTTTCTCGGCTTTCCTAGACTTTACAAGGTAGACCCTTAACATCCCTGACGAGTCCTAGAAGGACGAAACAACTGTATGATGCTGTTTAAATTCGTCACTTAACTTTACTGTAACTAATTCTAAATGGTCTATCTCTGAAATTGCATGTGGTAGACACTGGTGATGAACTTGATGTCCCAGTGAACGTCCTGTCACGTTTTCATTAGTTCGGATAGAGCTGGACTATACACATGTACTTGACGTTGTTCTAAAATCATCTTATGAAATTATCGAAAATCGTTGAATTATCGCTAGCGCACCCTCCCATGTAGATTTGGACATTTTTTATCTTGTCTACAATCTTTGTGGTTTCAGTGTGAAATACTTCTGGTCCCATGAGCTTTAGATATCGTAAACAGGAACAGCGGTAGGAGCTGTAGATACACTGTAAGTGAAACTAATTACATACGTTATTGTGTGTTTTACTAAATAGGTGTGCTATGATTTTTACAGTCTCATTTTCTCCGTTTAAAGGAATATTCTCAATTTACGCAAATGAATGTCAAAGACGTGTTTTATATCTGTTTTGGTCTATAAAAGTATATCAATCGACGAAATCGTGAGTGAAGGAATCGGCCTGAGAATGTATTCATAATGGAAACAGTGTGAGCTTCGAAAGCGAATAAGTGCGCACCTATAAAACATCATTTGCTAAATTCTGCACACCAAACAAAGGTATCATATATCAATTTTTGTGTAATAAGAGATATTTCAGAATTTCTGGAAGTCTAATACGGTTTTATCAGAAGTTGATATATGTTATGTAAACAAGATTTACATAAAGATAAAAACAACTAGATATATGAAATAGAGACAAATTACAATTTTTGTCTGCTTTACCTTGTTGTAATGTTGTACCTAAACGTTTTAAGTCAAAAAGATGATATTGTTTTCATGAAAATGGTAACAGTGCTAGCTATTAATGCGTTCATTGTATCAGTTTTCGTCATTGTATTACGCCCGTGATTGAATATGGCGAAAATCAGACTCCTTTTTAAATAATTTTATCTTAAAACATACTATGTGTAAACCATTGAACACTTAGATAAAAATAGTCACATCACCTGCATATATCGACATCCCAGCAGAGGGTATTAAGATTCATTAATCCTGTATGGCAAGCATTAGTGACGTCGGTAACGTAACTTCCGCCGTTAGGTCCTCCAGTCAGTGTCTGTAATAAAAGTCTCCAGTAATATTGCATTTTTTTTTTAAATCTCAACAAAAAAAATGTTTTTAATTAAAAATACGTCATTTGCGTGCAGTCAAAATCAAAATTTCATTTTGAAATAATGTGGGATAAAAATTGTAGATTCAGCCTGCAGTCGAGTTGGAAACTTTTCTTTTGACACTCCTCGCGGAAAAAGATCTCGTTTAGAAGAACAAACCGACATTGTTGAGTAGAGTTCCCTGAATCTTATGTCGATTACTCCTTATCTAAGACTTAAGAAAATGACTGGTATTATGGTAATTTCATTTTCAACAGCTGAACTGTCATTTTCTTTCACTTTTATCTGAGAAAAAAACTGTGAAAAGTACATATCGTAGATTGAGGTATTGTAGATAGCATTACCTACTACGTACGATTTTCAAACTGGAAAAAAGTACTGAACTTACTGATTGACTTAATATGTTGATATCTTTATATATCTATAACGTAAGTTGTAAATTATACGCCATCACATGCAATACAATCAAACACTGTTATAGAAGATTAATACAAACGGCCAAATTTTAAGTACTTTTTCCATCAAATCAGTGAAATTTGTGCAAAATTCACGAAAACAATTTAAAGTTCTAAATCAAGATATTGCCACTGGCATTGGTATTGGATATTGAACCAAAAACAAAACCTTACTACAGATTGTAAATGGTTTATTTTGCTAGCGTAAAAACCCTCGGGGAAAGAATGCAATTTTTCATGAAAAATGAAAGTTAGGGAGTGCACACATTACGTAGCTATAGGATTTTTCATTTTTTCCCTTTTATTTCATGGAAAGTTCAAAAAGTTTGCGATGCCGCCATAATTGCTTGTCGGGATTATCTGTTGCTTGTTGGGATTATCTGGTACGCAAAAAAAAAAAAAAAAAAAAAAAAAAACTTTTAATTTAAAAAAACCTGCAACTCTGTCATTCTTGGGTAATCCGAACAATATGCAAATGAAGGCCGCCATTTCTGAAAATCTTGTTTTTTATCAATTTCTCAGTAACAATGAATGGTATCGAAATCATTTTAGTGTCTATTCCCATGTTTTGAGGTATAAAGAATCAGGATAAGTCATTTCAGTGAAGAACGCACCAATCACTTTATGGTGAATAGACATATTGAGGAGGCTATTATTGAAAATCTTGTTTTGTCACAATCTCAATAATTACATGTGGTATCAAAATAATGTTCTTAGGGGTAAATCATCGAATTAGGCCATTCCAGTGTTGACCACAATTCCAAAGAATGGACAATCAACTTTAGTGTGTATGTGAATCGTCAAAGAACAATCCAATTGCTTGATGCATGTTGTCAGTCAAGAAACAAGTCAGAAACATTGTCACTGTCATCAACACGTCGGGTGTGCTCATTCTGGCAGTATACTCCCCCGTGACATACACAAAACTTTCTGCAGGGCAGGTGAGCTTTGTAGCATCCATACATTGTTGTCGAACAGGGATTATCCGTAGCTTAACCACACCTTATCATTTCCAGCACCTCCGGTGGAGAAACACTGACGTCATGTTGCACTGGTGTGCGCCCGCTTTACTTTACCTTTGAATGCCTCTCGGGAAGGTGGGAGTGACTTAAGCTCTGGAGCCTTTATTACGTTTTTTTCTGTTCATCCTTCTTGACCAGAACTCTCCCTGGGCCTCAAACATGTTCGACGTGACCGAGCCTTTCACCCCGTAGCATGAAGCCATGAATGGTGTTGCTTCTTGAATGATGTCAGCCATGTCCTCAGATAGTACACCCAATTTCTGCATCGCAATACCACTCTTGAGAACTTTGATGACTGTGCTTTTTCCTATCCCGAAGCACTGAGCGACAGTGTCACAGCCTGAAAGGGTATGAACATTTGTGAGAGCAAGTGTCCATGTTCATTTGAATTGGACCCAATATCTATAGTAGTTCGTTCAGCGCTTGGTCCTTCCATTGTAAGACAACAAGTCAAGTTCAACTTGGCGTAAAAGTGCAGCAGGAGAACAAAAACTCTCTACCGTCGGCAGCATGCAGATCACCCATTGTCCCAGATGTCGTTACGAGATCTGCAGATATCTAGAAGGGTTTCCTTATAATTCTTCCTCCCCTCACCACGGTCTGCTATCCTACAAAGAACAACCCTTCTCCACCAATCTGGATGCTTTGGATCAATGTCGAAGCATTCCTCGCCGCAGAAAAGGCAATGCTGCCTGAAGTCGAAGATTGTCGATCCGGACCGACGCAGACGTTTTACTGCAGATGTCTCTTTGAATTATTTTGATGAGCTGAGCCTATTCAAGTGCCTCTTAATGTGCGTTTTGGATGTACATTTAAATACACAGTATCTATGAAAAACGACCTCTTAATGTTTGTCTGCGGAAAGTCTAGTTGCGAGATCATCATGGAAAAATCACATCTCCGTTTACTTGATTCAATGATATTCTGTATCCTATCAGTGCCTGCTACGCTAAGTTCCTTCTTGCTTCCATCTCCATTACCCAAGGAGCAGCACCCTTCCATCTCTAAGCTCTACCTTGATGATATATTTTTTGTTTTTCTTCCGATCAATATTTGCTGATCAATTACTGAAGGTGAAACGAAGAAGAAGTCTGAACTCACGTTCAAATCTCTTTATACGATGTCCGAGTTCCACATACCTGTTTCTCCACCTTCAGTTTATGCAGCTTTAATGACCCTGTCAGTGGGTGACTCTGTACCCGTGGTCGCGGTTCAACGTCTCATTCGAACAACGGTGCTGCACACGTGGACACGGTTTAGCGTGTCATCTGAACAACGGTGCTGCAGTTCGTCTGCTCCTTCACCTTCATATAGGTTTTTCAGCTCTGTAGACCCTGTCAAAGCTTGGGTAACTCTGTACACGTGGACGCGCTTTAACGTCTCATCCGAACGACGGTGCTGCGGTTGGTCTGTCCCTTCCCTTTCGTTTCCGTTTAGGTGCTATCAGAACAGTTTCTGCTTTACAGCTGTATTATCAGTGATGGAGATCCTCATTTGCACATTTCGCAGAAAACAGTTGTGTGTTTTTTTATGGATTGGCCTAATCTGATTCAGTGCCCCTCAAAACATGGGGTTGAACGTCAATTTTTTGGTTCTTGATACCATGTGATCCTTACTGAAATCACTTAATCGGATCTTTGCCCCACATTTCATGGGGGTAGACACCAAAATCGTTTTGACACAATTTATACTTATTGAGATGTTGATGAAAACAAGATTTTTAGTAATGTCGGACTTCATTTGCATATTGTACGGATTGCCCAAGGATGACAGAGTGGCATCATACAGATTCTTGAAGAGAACACTTCAGAGGAAAAGAAAAGGCAAAAAAAAAAAAAAAAAAAACTTTGTACGAACCGCATTGCAAGGTTCTCCAAAAATCTTTGTTTTGGCAACGGACTTGATGGGAAATTACCGATCAGTACAGACATTGGCACGTGTGAAAAACATTGAAAAATGGGTCGATTATAGTACATGACAAAACCCTTACATTTTCAACTGATAAGTAACGCGAGGATTCTTTTAGTGATATCCATGTGCAGTTGTCTGCTTGATCACTAGCGGTAGTTAGCTTTGACATTTTAGTATGCAGAGTCTGCATTGGGTCTTATGACTACGAATTTATTATTTATAAAAACCGACCTTATCAGTGTTAACGATTACTTTGTCAAAATACAGTGAAAGACCTGTGCTCTTTGACAAGGTACACTTGCATACAGTCCCATTCCGATCTCACAGAGTTACTGTTTTTAGGCTAAACGTACTCAGTACGCATAGCCTATTGCGACGGCCTTTCAGACAAAATTTACCGATCCTGGCCTTCTCATTGGCTGAAATATTGAAAAGAGTTAGAGCCCTCTAGCGGCAATTTTCTGCGTAAATAATGCCGCGATTTTTCACATCGCTATTTTAAAAGCATACAAAATTAGTCTATTTTTTTTAATAACAATACGATTACTATTTATATTTATACTATATATATTTGACGCAATGATAAGAAGCTAGTCTGGGGGCTTGGTTTGAATTATCAACTAACAGCACTTATAAACAAACAAAACTTACAAACAGAACATCAATTTTGCTTTAATCCTTGTCGTTGTGGCAAGATCGTCTTAATATATAACATCACTTTACCTCATTAGACGTCACAAAATTGGACTGTTCGTCCTGCGCGCACACCCGCCGATATGACACTTTTTCAGGATTTTAGCATCCACCGCCATGACACTTTTTCAAGTTTTTGAAGATAAAAAGTTTGCGCTTCGTAGGCGAGGTACATTTGGTGCTCATGATTTATGAATGATATATTTTTAATACAGTACTGGTCATGATGTTGACTTTGTTATGACTTTTATTTTTTGTCTTTCAGTTTTATTTGATGAAGGTTGATTGTGCTGATTTCTCAATGTTTGTTAATGTGTATCAAAGTTCCTTGAATTCAAAATATTCCTTCGAACAACGCGCGTATAAAAAAAACCCCAAAATATTCATGTTTATGATTATCAATTAACTAAAACGAAATATTTTCATAACATATTTATTCATTTAGCGTGTCATGGTGGCATTATCTAATGCATTGGAGATCAGAAATAGTAGTAGCTATAATGAAAATATTGTAAATTTTGTATATATATGGAAGTCTGGTTTAATCTAATAGAACCATGCCTTTATAGACATAATTACTGGAAGAAAAGTCTAACCATGATACTTCAAGGAAGATAGGCATGTTAATACATTTAATGTAATTACTTACACTTTTATCTAACTGAAATGCTGTGTATACCTTATCTACTTTCCTCAACTACAAATATAATTACAATAAGTAAGGACTTTTACTTTGCAATACATTCAAAATAAAGAAGTAGGTATAAAGTCCTTTCGATTTGTCTAAACCCTCATATTGATAGGATAGTAATTGCAACATCTTGGGTATTTCAAAGGTTTTATTTAGTCAACTTCATAGAGCTATTTATCATTTGGCTTGTTGGCGATAAATATATGGTTGTGTGTATTTTGTTATCTTTTTTATACTTATTTTGATTTATTCACATTATTGTCGTCAAATTTGAAAGAAGAATTAAAGAAGATATAAAATCGCTTAAAATTAAGAAAAATAGCCTCTGGTTCTCTTATTTTAGTAATTTTTGCATTCCAAAGTGTAGGAGTATGGGGAAAGTAATATAGCTTAGCGGTTATTTGTGAACATTTTTCAATACGTTTAGCCTCTCAGTACTTTCGGTACTTTGATTACTTCATGGTTTAGCATAAGCTTGACAGTCTTTACAGAGTTAGGGCTTCAGTTTGTGTCAGCTGTCGCGATGTGACAGCGGGACACGTGAGAAAACTTCACTCAGGAGATCATCATTACCTGGTTTGCGCATAATATTGTGTGACGAGGAATACCAAACCAGAGACGTTTATGTAATATATGTACATCTCTCATTATCTACATCACAACACCACACTGTATCAACACCACATTACAATCACAACACCACATTGTATCATTATCTACATCACAACACCACACTGAATCATTATCTACATCACAACACTGAATCATTATCTACATCACAACACCACACCGTATTATTACATACAACACCACACTGTATCATTACATCACAACACCACAATCATTACATCACAACACCACACTGAATCATACATATCTACATCACAACACCACACTGTATACATCACAACACCACACTGTATCTACATCACAACACCACACTGTATCATTATCTACATCACAACACCACACTGTATCATTATCTACATCACAACACCACACTGTATCATTATCTACATCACAACACCACACTGAATCATTACATCACAACACCACACTAAATCATTATCTACATCACAACACCACACTGAATCATTATCTACATCACAACACCACACTGTATCAGTATCTACATCACAACACCACACTGTATCATTACATCACAACACCACACTGAATCATTATCTACATCACAACACCACACTGTATCATTATCTACATCACAACACCACACTGAATCATTATCTACATCACAACACCACACTGAATCATTATCTACATCACAACACCACACTGTATCATTATCTACATCACAACACCACACTGTATCATTATCTACATCACAACACCACACTGAATCATTATCTACATCACAACACCACAATGTATCATTATCTACATCACAACACCACAATGTATCATTATCTACATCACAACACCACACTGTATCATTATCTACATCACAACACCACACTGTATCACATCACAACACCACACTGAATCATACATCACAACACCACACTGTATCATCACAACACCACACTGTATCATTATCTACATCACAACACCACACTGTATCATTATCTACATCACAACACCACACTGAATCATTATCTACATCACAACACCACACTGAATCATTAACTACATCACAACACACACTGAATCATTATCTATATCACAACACCACACTGAATCATTATCTACATCACAACACCACACCGTATTATTACATACAACACCACACTGTATCATTACATCACAACACCACATTGAATCATTATCTACATCACAACACCACACTGTATCATTATCTACATCACAACACCACACTGTATCATTATCTACATCACAACACCACACTGTATCATTATCTACATCACAACACCACACTGTATCATTACATCACAACACCACACTGAATCATTATCTACATCACAACACCACACTGAATCATTATCTACATCACAACACCACACTGTATCATTACATCACAACACCACACTGTATCATTACATCACAACACCACACTGAATCATTATCTACACAACACCACACTGTATCATTATCTACATCACAACACCACACATCATTATCTACATCATTGTATCATTATCTACATCACAACACCACACTGAATCATTACATCACAACACCACACTGAATCATTACATCACAACACCACACTGAATCATTACATCACAACACCACACTAAATCATTATCTACATCACAACACCACACTGAATCATTATCTACATCACAACACCACACTGAATCATTATCTACATCACAACACCACACTGAATCATTATCTACATCACAACACCACACTGTATCATTATCTACATCACAACACCACACTGTATCATTATCTACATCACAACACCACACTGAATCATTGAATCATTATCTACATCACAACACCACACTGTATCATTATCTACATCACAACACCACACTGTATCATTATCTACATCACAACACCACACTGAATCATTATCTACATCACAACACCACACTGAATCATTATCTACATCACAACACCACACTGTATCATTATCTACATCACAACACCACACTGTATCATTATCTACATCACAACACCACACTGTATCATTATCTACATCACAACACCACACTGAATCATTATCTACATCACAACACCACACTGTATCATTATCTACATCACAACACAACACTGAATCATTACATCACAACACCACACTGTATCATTATCTACATCACAACACCACACTGTATCATTATCTACATCACAACACCACACTGAATCATTATCTACATCACAACACCACACTGTATCATTATCTACATCACAACACCACACTGAATCATTATCTACATCACAACACCACACTGAATCATTATCTACATCACAACACCACACTGAATCATTGAATCATTATTTACATGACAACACCACACTGAATCATTACATCACAACACCACACTGTATCATTATGTACATCACAACACCACACTACACCACATTACATCATTACTACATCACAACACCACACTGAATCATCATCTACATCACAACACCACATCATCATTATTTACATGACAACACCACACTGAATCATTACATCACAACACCACACTGAATCATTATGTACATCACAACACCACACTGTATCATTATCTACATCACAACACCACACTGTATCATTATCTACATCACAACACCACAATGTATCATTATCTACATTACAACACCACACTATCATTATCTACATCGGAACACCACATTGTATCATTATCAACATCACAACACCACACTGAATAATTACATCACAACACCACACTGAATCAGTATCTACATCACAACACCACACTGAATCATTACATCACAACACCACACTGAATCATTATCTACATCACAACACCACACTGTATCATTATCTACATCACAACACCACACTGAATCATTATCTACATCACAACACCACACCGTATTATTACATACAACACCACACTGTATCATTATCTACATCACAACACCACACTGTATTATTATCTACATCACAACACCACATTGTATCATTATCTACATTACAACACCACACTGTATCATTATCTACATCACAACACCACATTGTATCATTATCTACATCACAACACCACACCTTATTATTACATACAACACCACACTGTATCATTATCTACATCACAACACCACACTGAATCATTATCTACATCACAACACCACACTGTATCATTATCTACATCACAACACCACACTGTATCATTACATCACAACACCACACTGAATCATTACATCACAACACCACACTGAATCATTATCTACATCACAACACCACACTGTATCATTACATCACAACACCACACTGAATCATTATCTACATCACAACACCACACTGAATCACTACATCACAACACCACACTGTATCATTATCTACATCACAACACCACACTGAATCATTATCTACATCACAACACCACACTGTATCATTATCTACATCACAACACCACACTGTATCATTATCTACATCACAACACCACACTGTATCATTATCTACATCACAACACCACAGTGAATCATTATCTACATCACAACACCACACTGAATCATTGAATCATTATCTACATCACAACACCACACTGAATCATTGAATCATTATCTACATCACAACACCACACTGAATCATTATCTACATCACAACACCACACTGTATCATTACATCACAACACCACACTGAATCATTATCTACATCACAACACCACACTGTATCATTATCTACATCGCAACACCACATTGTATCATTGTCAACATCACAACACCACACTGAATCATTACATCACAACACCACACTGAATCATTATCTACATCACAACACCACACTGAATCATTATCTACATCACAACACCACACTGAATCATTATCTACATCACAACACCACACTGAATCATTATCTACATCACAACACCACACTGAATCATTATCTACATCACAACACCACACTGTATCATTACATCACAACACCACACTGAATCATTATCTACATCACAACACCACACTGTATTATTATCTACATCACAACACCACACTGTATCATTATCTACATCACAACACCACACTGAATCATTATCTACATCACAACACCACACTGAATCATTATCTACATCACAACACCACATTGTATCATTATCTACATCACAACACCACACTGAATCATTATCTACATCACAACACCATCATTATCTACATCACAACACCATCACTGTATCATTATCTACATCATTACATCACAACACCACACTGTATCATTACATCACAACACCACACTGTATCATTATCTACATCACAACACCACACTGTATCATTATCTACATCACAACACCACACTGTATCATTACATCACAACACCACACTGAATCATTATCTACATCACAACACCACACTGTATCATTATCTACATCACAACACCACACTGTATCATTACATCACAACACCACACTGAATCATTATCTACATCACAACACCACACTGTATCATTATCTACATCACAACACCACACTGAATCATTATCTACATCACAACACCACACTGTATCATTATCTACATCACAACACCACACTGAATCATTGAATCATTATCTACATCACAACACCACACTGTATCATTATCTACATCACAACACCACACTGTATCATTATCTACATCACAACACCACACTGAATCATTATCTACATCACAACACCACACTGTATCATTACATCACAACACCACACTGTATCATTATCTACATCACAACACCACACTGTATCATTATCTACATCACAACACCACACTGTATCATTATCTACATCACAACACCACACTGTATCATTATCTACATCACAACACCACACTGAATCATTATCTACATCACAACACCACACTGAATCACTACATCACAACACCACACTGTATCATTATCTACATCACAACACCACACTGAATCATTATCTACATCACAACACCACACTGATATCATTATCATAAACATCACAACACATAAATATTTGAGATACATCACAACACCACATCTACATCACAACACCACATGTTATCATCTACATCACAACACCACAAAATCAATTACATCACAACACCACACTGAATCATATAGTATCATCTACATCAACACCACACTGTATCATTATACATGAAATCATTACATCACAACACCACACTACATATCATTATCTACATCACAATTCTTTCTATTTTTTCACAACACCACATGCAAAAATTTAATTCCAAACTTAAGTTGATGTGACAACGATATTACGAATTTTCGTAAATTAACCTGTTCATTACAACATATACTCGGCGCCAATGAAAACGCAACACTAAAATTTTGGACATAATATATTCTTCACAACAAGGATTAGATTCTTATTCTGCTGTATTTAGCCACAATGCACTACAAAACTAACGAAATAATGGTCGAGTAATATCAACTCCTTGTCGTACCACAGGGCATTGTCTTAAAAGCATGAGTTTACACGTCGGCGCTCTAAAGTGCGTTATATCCTTGCTCAGTCACTACTAGTGAACACTGTAGTTACAGGCAGACATTTTTCCGTCATCAATTTTTTAAATTGTCATCATTATTTGCTACAAATGCCTCGACTGACAGACAATGAAAGACACGAAGCTCGGGGTATGCTGGCAGGAGGGCTTTCTCAGAGGGAAGTTGCCAGGAGAATGGGTTGTTCTGCTTCCACAATCAATCGACTGGCAGAACGAGTGCGACAAACCGGATCCGTGATAGATCGACCTCGTCCGGGGCGACAGAGTGACGACGCCAAACCAGGACCGTTACATTCGACTAAGTCACCTGCGAGATCGTTTTCAAACCGCGACAAGAACGGCTAGACAGACGATAGGAAGTCATGGCAGACGTTTGTCAGCTAGTACTGTGCGCCGTCGCCTTCGCACAACCGGATTGGCGTCGCGCCGTCCATTTAGAGGAAACGAATTGACTCAAATTCGCCGTCAAAATCGTCTAAATTGGACAAGACAGCGCCGAGGATGGACACAACGTCGGTGGGCTGGCGTCCTGTTAACGAATCGAGATTCCGCCTCAGAGGAAATGACGGTAGAATTCGAGTGTGGCGACGTCGAGGTGAAAGGTTTTTGGACTGCTGTGTAACGGAAACGGATAGGTGGGGCGGGGCAGTGTGATGGTGTGGGGAGGTATCTCTTTTGCATACCGTACCCCTCTAGTAATTATTGACGGCAATCTAACAGCACAGCGCTACATCAACGAGGTCTTAACTCCTGCTGTTGTTCCATTCTTTGCTGCACACCCAAACGTAGCGTTATTACAACAGGACAATGCACGACCACATACCGCTCGTATCACTACAGACTAACTTCAACATCAGAACATCGCAACCCTTCCGTGGCCCGCGTTTTCCCCCGATCTTAGTCCGATCGAGCATCTTTGGGACCAATTGGGTAGGGCTGTGAGAGAGCCACCACAACAGCCCCAGACGCGTCGGCAGCTTGAAATCGCTCTTCAGGAAGAGTGGAGGAACATTCCTCAAATCAAAATTCAACGCCTTATTCGGTCAATGCCTCGAAGATGTCGCGCATGTGTCGCTGCAAATGGTGGCCACATTAGATATTGAACGTGGTAATTTTGATTTTGGGGGTATGGACATTAGTCACCGGAAATCAAAGTATTCCCATGATGTAGTGCTGATTGCATTGAGTGAATTTTGTTATGGACATAATCAACTTTTAGGTATTTTATTAAATATTGTATTCAAAACTATAACTGGTAAATTTTGACAGTAATTTAAAGGTGTTGCGTTTTCATTGACGCCGAGTATATATAACCGCCTTTTTCATCATTTATTAGTATATTGTTTAACGTGATTCGAAGTAAATTTAGAAACTATTTCCGTCGAATTAATGCACGTGCTAAAACACAGTTGTTTTTCGTCACTGCCGAATACAGCAAAATACATGTGGCAGGTGTATTTCGATAAAGGCAGCACAGTTGGTGGATGAAAAGGAATTCAGGAGAATTCATGTGTATATTTGTTGAGATTTTACTTCAACGCCATGGCTAGAGTCATACCGAGGAAATTTGAGTCCTCTACACTGTTATCGATTGATAGATTGTCATACTTACTTTATCTCATCCTTACATAATGTTACATGGACGTCATTGTTCAATACTATGATAGAAAAAGGTTAATAAATAAATTTACAAAATTTACATCCACTACAATTTACTACCGAATTAAATATAACCAAAATGATCACAGACATCAGAAGTGCTGAGGCAGTTTTTCTTAATTTTAATTAGAAACATTAACGTAGTAATATATCCAACACATTTAAATTTAATCCTTACTTGATATTTCACACGGTCTTCCTTAGACATATTTCTTTCTAGTTCCTGGTATCGAGCATGGGCTCTAGAATCTGTGTAACCTGAATGTTTACAAATATGAATTAGTCAACAAAAATGATAGGATCAGAAAGTAAACCTTGAAGACTCTAAACGAAAAGAGATGAAAAAGCTTAATGAAAATACGACTGCATCAATTTAATGTTCGACAAACATCCAATCCTTGAATAATATGAGCTTCTCTGTAAGTAGTTGAAAATAGACGAAAGACACGTTTCCGTTGACAAGTGAATTAATGAAATGAGTAAGAATTTTTTCTTTTAAATGAAATCTTTCGTGAGCTGAATTTTAAAAAATCGCAACGAGCTTCATAAATCAGATTTATTCAGATTCTGGAGCCGAATTTAAAATCCTTTTCAGTGATTTCTCAAACAGATATGGTAGAAAACCGATATTTCTTCGTCAAACTTTTTAAGTTACAGTGCCATCTGCATAGGTGACATCATTTCAGTAACTACAGTGACGTAATAACAAGCTTCTTTATAACACATGTGTCATATGATCTGACATGTGATCAACACTAATAGTGCCCACTTATTGAGGGACCACACTACATACATTGACATTCATTACCTATAGCATTACACAGCGATTTTCCAGTGACTTTATCCCATAAAATCAAAGTCAACATCTGATTAGTTATACCAATACCTGTAAAAAATGAAAATAAACCATGGTAAATGAAATCGTACCATTAACGATTTCTGTCTTAATCTCAAGTGATTTATAAAATTTTCAAAAAGTCAGATCACTTTCGGCAATTACAAAATTTCAGCAATATAAGTAGTTTATTCTATGTTAAAAATCCAATACAAGTTTATCCTGATGAGTATACCTTTCTTATTTGACATCTTATTTTACACTCTGTTACAAGCCTGTGAATTTTTAAATGTTAACCAAAACGTTAAAAACGTGTATTTCGCACACATCTTGGTATTTTAGGCATATCATTTTTATTGTATCTTCAAGAATAGTGCTAAAAGGCCCAATGGGCCTGCAGCGCTCATCTGCCAAATATCATGCCTCTAGGCCTTTTAGTTCATGAACGGAAGTAATTTAAATATTTCACCGAATCTCACCTCTGTGACCATGAATGAAGTCATTTGTACGACTACATCATAGGAACATACCAGCTATATATCATATCTCTAGGTCTTTCAGTTCATGAGAAAAGGTTGTTCAAAGGTTTTAAACAAATTTGACTTCTGTGACTTTGAACATAGGTCAAGGTCATTTCTTTTCCCAAACGTTGTTGGGGTTCTTCCTAGAAACATACAAGCCACCAGCCAAATATGCCTTTAGGCCTTTTAGTTCAATAGAAGTAATCGTTTAAAGGTTTTAACAAATTTGACCCTTGTGGCCTATAATATAAGTCAAAGTCATTTCTTTTGGCAGACTTTGTCGCGCTTCATCCTAGAAACATACCTATCAAATATCATGCCTCTAGGATTTTTAGTTCACGAGAAGAAGTCGTTTAAATGTTTCATGAAATTTGACCCCTGTGACTTTGAATATTAGTTAAGGTAATTTATATTCGCAAACTTTGTATAGCTACATCATAGGAACATACCAACCATATATCATGTTTCTAGGCCTTTCAGTTCAGGAGAAAAAGTTCTTTACAGGTTTTAACAAATCTGACCTCCGTGAACTTGAATATAGGTCAAGGTATTTTTTTCGCAAACACTTCGGGCATACCAGGACCATACCAAGCAAATATTAAAACATTTGGTCCATTGGTTATTAAGAAGATGTGTAAAGGAAAAAGTTGACGACGGACGCCTAACCACGTCATAAGCTCAATTGAGGTGCGGTGAACTAGAAAAGCCCAGACAATAATAACTTAAACAGTATATCTTGTACAATTTTCCAAAAAAGAAAAGTTGACTTACATTTGATATCTTTGATGTGTATGCCCATATCGTCAAGCTTGTTCGCAGTTCTCTCCATACAGTCACAAGTCGAATCTATAAGCCATGCGGCATCCATTTCTGACCATCTAAAAAAACATATTTATACTTTTGAGAGCCAGTTGTACTTTGTGAATATATGATTACTTTCTGAACTTTTACTGTAAATTAGAAGTAACTCCACGACAATACTACCGAGTAAATCAGTCGATGTTTTCTGTGGATGGCCAGGAATTCTAGTTTCCAAAATCTTATTTTTTCTCACGAAAATAACATTTGTAGAAGAAGGTGCTAAAAATACAAAATATTCAGTGTCTATTCTTGACGTTTTTGACAAGTGATAAAGTCATATACCGTCTGAGGTCATCAAAGTATGCATTATTTATATAAATAACTCAGATGTCCTTGCGATCTATTATGTGGCGCGCAGACTTCACTTGGTCAGATTTTGAATTTAGATTACTTCTAGTGAAACAAACCATATGAATTTGATTCAGTGAATCAAACTAGGTAAGTCTGAGCGACACGAACACCCCGTCGACAACCAAGGAAAAGTTTGGAAGTTTTAGTGTTACTGACTATGTTAAAAGGTTTACTCATGGCAAAGAACAAAATAGAAGCTCTGATTGCAGAACCCGTGATAACAATACGAAATTAAAAGTGATGCAGAGTCAAAGGTAAAAATTCAAAATGAAATTGCTGACATTTTTTTTTCTTTTCCATTTCTACTGAAATGCTTTTCAATATTTGTCCTACATACATTTTGTTTTGTGAAAAAATTAAGACAACTTTTAAAGTTGAATGGTCATAACTCTAGAAACAATCATTGGACGATAAGTAAATTAAGCATGTGTATTATCAGTATACAGCTATATACCAAATTACATGGGATATTTCATCAGTATAAAGTTTCCCTTCATACAAGTATATAAACCTTTCGTGAGGTGTGAGGATCACCGATTCTTCCTGGTGGTAGGCAAGCATCTCTCCCGTCTTACTGGAAAACACCTTCAAAATAGAACACGAAAAACGTTGCCCAATTTAGCTATAATTTTCATTGTTCTCTATGTACTGTTTAGTGTTCAGTGGTTCAAATTCTCGCAGTTTTATACATTTACCAAAAATTTGAAGTGAAAACGAAAATTTCTGCGGAAGTTATGAAACTGATTGTAGTTCTATATATTGACGATGTTTTCATGCATTTAATTCTAATAGTGATAACTAGAAACCATTAGAAACATATTCAGCGTATCGCACTGTCTGGAATAATAATTTAAGGATAACCTCCTTTGGACGTCAGAACTATGATATCGTTCAGCCCATTGCTTTTAATTCATATTAATGCTTTGACTATATAATAATCAACTGTCCACTGACCTTAATGATTTCAGCACTTATTGGGAAAAAAAGAAAGAAAAACAAAATGAAAAGAAAAATGATCGTGTTAGAAATATTTAACGTAAGACTTAACCCTAGCCTACGTACCGAAAAACGTGTGCTGCTGGAGCCTTGGTCTATTGAGGCCACGAGATGTCCATATCTTTCAAATGTTGTCATCCTCTCTGTAACAAATCAGTGATATTAACAATGTCATCTAGATCACTATAACATATTGTATGAAGCAATATTGTAAAACTGTTTTCAGTCTGATTTTTAAAGAAGAATTTTTTATGTCTATTCCAATCCTTACTCGTTCAAGGTAACATCAATGACATCAAACCATTTCCTACGTATAATATGTAGACATTGGAGCATGCAGAGTTCGGAGTATGATGAGCTGGATTATTGAGAGACCAGAGTATGACGAGACTGGATTATTGAGAGCCATGAGTATGACGAGACAGGATTATTGAGAGCCATGAGTATGACCAGACTGGATTATTGAGAGACAGGAGTATGAAGAGACTGGATTATTGAGAGACTGGAGTATGAAGAGACTGGATTATTGAGAGACTGGAGTATGACGAGACTGGATTATTGAGAGACAGGAGTATGACGAGACTGGATTATTGAGAGACTGGAGTATGACAAGACTGGATTATTGAGAGACCGGATTATGATGAGACTGGAATATTGAGAGACAGGAGTATGACAAGACTGGATTATTGAGAGACCGGATTATGATGAGACTGGAATATTGAGAGACAGGAGTATGACAAGACTGGATTATTGAGAGACAGGAGTATGACAAGACTGGATTATTGAGAGACAGGAGTATGACAAGACAGGATTATTGAGAGACCAGAATATGACGAGACTGGATTATTGAGAGACAGGAGTATGACGAGACTGGATTATAGAGAGACTGGAGTATGACAAGACTGGATTATTGAGAGACTGGAGTATGACAAGACTGGATTATTGAGAGACAGGAGTATGACGAGACTGGATTATTGAGAGACTGGAGTATGACAAGACTGGATTATTGAGAGACAGGAGTATGACAAGACTGGATTATTGAGAGACAGGAGTATGAAGAGACTGGATTATTGAGAGACCAGAGTTTGAAGAGACTGGTATCATATTTAATTTAATGTATGTTCATAAGACAAGGGACGATCTCTGTCCTGTGATTAGCTCTGAGGTCTCCCACAGGTTTCGACAAAATGCAATGTTAACTTGGAATCGGCGAATTCCTGCAAACTGATAACCTAGTCCAAAAATAGTTGCATGACATTTCCGTGATGCATGTACTTTTAACCAATGAGAAGGCAGCATTATCTGTTACAAACATGACTGACATTCAAAAAACGCCAATTCGCATCGGTTTCTCCGCAAGATTTGCAGAAAATTGTACACTGCAATGGTTCCAGAAACACAAAACGTTCCATATAATTTATTGCTCGATGTTTTCGGAAGTATTCGTCGAAAAATGAAAGTTGACTGAATTTGAAACGCTGATTTTTTTAATCTGGCTGGTTCATTGAACAACAACTATCTTTGTGGACTTACCATCTGATCTTTCATGATACGGAGTGTTCACCTAAGTTCTGGTATCCTCTACAGCCTTTTCTGTTTTTCCAAACCTCTGCACTTGCTACATAAGGGTTGGCTTTGACCTCGATACTACCGGGACCTATTGTTCGGAGTCACCCTCAAACTTATCTTCCCAGCTGACTCGTCTCACATCAGATCTCCTGTTCCAAATATAAGACGCTGGTTGGTGGTAGTTAGCTTAACAATAACCCTCGCTTGATTTAGGGTTTCCGCTTCCTTTTCCATACCTGTAAGGGTGGATCTTTTGTCCAAGCATCCTTTCAGAAAAGCATCTGCAGCAATAAGCTTGGTAACTTTCTTCGAAACAGTTGAATACCTATCAAGGGTTAGCTCCTAAAGTCTCTCAGCAAACACCGCAAGATTTTCATGACTTTCCTATCTGATATCCTGCATTTGCCCTCTGACGAGGTTCGGTTGGTCCTTGTTTTGAACCTCTCCTTTACTTTCTCGCAGACGACCTGAAAATCAAGTTATGCACTCTGTGGTCACTTTTAACACCATAGAGAGCGCTTTTTCGGTGAGGCGGTCCTTCTACCCTATTACAAGACTTCCCTCCGAGACTTATCCTCATTTGGTGCTTCTTCCGAGAATTTCTTTTTATACGAACTCCCCGTAGTCAATCTCTCCACAACCCAAATCGGTGGTGTAAGAGGCTAAAAGTGGCTTTCTGTCCTCTACCCCCACCCTCCCGTCTTTCTTGACCCAAAGAGCCTCCAACTCTTCTTGACGTCACATTTATTGTTGCTTAATGTTTGTCAGCTTCTCCATCTGCAATTGATGCTGGTGTTTCCTTTCCCTCCGCTCATTCTCAAGTCTTACCAGACTTACCTCATACTTCGCAAGCCTCCTTATCTTCGGAGAAGCGATAGCTTGATCAGTGACCCCCAGTCTGTGTTACTGACGTTGAAAGGGTCAGTAAGTACAGTCGAAACTCGTTATCTCGAAATTCAATGGACCGTTGAAATTATTTCGACTCATTGGAATTTCGACCCAAAGTGTCTAAATAAGATTGACGATATGAGTTTTCTAACGTTGATTACGTTTGAACGAAGTGCACTACTATAGGGTACATCGTGGTACAAACCGCATAATTAAATCTATTTGATTGAAATGACAATAAATAAACAGAACTATATATATATTACTACTTTCTCCTTTCATTGCTTATATATCCAAATAACAAAACGTGCTATAACAATACCAGTCTACTACGTTTGTTCTCACTTCGTGTACACTCCCCTTACTGACAAGGCACATAACAGTGCAGATCATATGCTTTTCGGAATGACAATAACACAAAACTAAAACTAGCTTTAGATATGCTACAAGAAACGACGTATAAAGAAACAGATCCTATAAACATGACTTTACGACGAATGAATATTCATATGAATATATATGTGAATTTCGCGAACTTTTTAACAGTTTCCCTTTTAACTTGGCATGCAGTATTTGACAGATTAAAATCGTAAGACTTCATTAAAAAGGGTAGACTTGTCAAATCACGCACAGACATAGACTCTATCAATGAAAATAAAACTTTCAGCACTGCATTGTCTAAGTACTAAATCTGGCAAGGTGCCCCATCACAGTCCTTTAGTAAACAAGCATCAAAATTGAAATATACAGTGCATTAATTAGATCAAAAATAGATTATAGATACCAAATTTATAACTCGGTCTCAGATAACACCTAAAAACACTTAATATAATACAACACAAAGCACTTAGAATAGCAACAGGCACAATAAAAAAAACACCCACTATAAGTCTACATATGGAAACTGGTGAAATACCATTAAAACTAAGGAGAGAGAAAATAATATTAAAATACTGGGCTAGAACTCAATCTTTAGACCTGATTTTCCACCTAATGTTATAGCAGAACAAGCCAAGAACATTAAATATAGAGATAAACTTAAAGATCACAATACACCACCATATAACCATGTAACAAACCAACTTTTCGTCGGACACAATTTAGACCAAGCTAGATTGAGCAAAGCATTCCAAATCCCACTCCGCCTTGGAAATACTCCGCAAATTAGCACCGAAATTTTATACAAAAGCAACTACAAGGACAATCCAGCAAAAACAAGGACAATCCAGCAACTACAAGGACAATCCAGCAACTACAAGGACAATTGCATTATCCATAATTGACGAGAAATATAATTATCATACCAAATGTTGTACTGACGGATCAAAAAAATCTACAAACGAACAAAGTTAGGTATTTTTTTCGGAGAAAACAACATTGCATTATCATACAGACTGACCGATCAGTGCTCCGTTTATACCAGTAAAAGTATTGCTATAGAATTAGCACTTAGACTTATTAACAAGAAAAAGTCCACAAATAGAGCGGTAATTCTTACAGATAGTCTTTCTTCATTTCAATCAATACAGACTAGAACAAGTGAAAGAACTAATGCATTCACCTCAACATTGAATCTAGATTGAAACTTAAAACAACAGGGGTTTTTGGTAGCACATTTCAATATACCTGGAAATGAAAAAGCTGATGATCTAGCCAAAGCAGCTCTTCAGAAAAACACTTTAGAATATAAGGTGAAACTATCTAAGACAAAAGTATATTCTTTTATCAATCACAAAATCAATAATAAATGGTCACAAACATGGAAATATTTGGAAAGATCAAACAACCTGAGGCAAATTATAAATAAACCTAACATTAAACCAAAAGCTTTAGGACGAAATAAATTAGAAGATATTATCGTCACAAGACTAAGATAAGGAACCACAAAATTAAAAAGTTACAACAGTATAATGGTTAAAGATATCTCACCAGACTCTACGCATTATAGAACAGAAGAGGCAAATGATAATATTTTTCTACATTGCATTAGATTCGATCAGGACAGAAAAAATCTCATAGCCGAATTTCAAGAAATAAAAATTTAATGTACATCCATCAATCACGTGAAAATGAAAGACTAGTGCATAAACTGCTCGTCGAATTCCGAAGAAAAAATGATTATTTAGGCAAAATATAAACGGTAAACAGAAAAGTAGACGGGAGTCAACTCCCAAATATCAGAAAGCTACAGTACATTATACACAACAGGTAGGATCCCCAGGATACCAAGGAAGACGGTACCAGAGAGGATTACTACTGCCCTTCTATTTCACTGGTGCATATTAACACTTGATGAGGTATGTGGTGTCCTTCTCTGTGCCCCATCCCAGATCCCAAATCTAGGGAGGCCTCCAACTTTTCCTCTCAGCTTCTGGACATGTTCTTGCTGCTATAGTTAGGTTAGGCAATATTAGGCCCTGGTGCCGTCTTCTAAGACTAGTATAATCAAATGAGCACAGCTACAGACGGTTTGATCGCAATGAAGGGGATGCAGGACGCCCCCTCACGTCGCCAGAACACTGACGTTTGTCGGTGACACGGAGACGAAAAACCTGTCAACCAACTAACCAGGCGTATACAGATGGCTTAGTCTGAAATGTGTACGGTGGCGTGCTAAAGCTCTGGACGAAAGAAACATGCCTCAACTGAGAGAGGAGGGTAACAGTTCCTTTTGAACCCCCCACCCAAAGTGGTTACCAAGGGGTTATTATACCTGGTAAATATAATACAAGTGTCTGAAAGGGTTGATTTTAAGACCATGCCCCAAGTTTTCTTGGTACCCCTTCAAATAAACCCTTTTAGATACTTATTATAGCCTACTGGTAGTCATTTTGGGTGGGTGGTTCAAAAGGAACTCTTTCCGAGAGGAGTTTTTCCTAATGATATAAGCGAAAGGAAAGGTGCTCTTGTACCAGAAAAATCTCCTGAACTCTCAAAGTTTACATACCTGTGGATGTGTTAGAATTCCGTAGGTAACGATGACCACTCGACCAGCACCACGCTGTGTAATGTATGGCCTCGGCCTTGTACACGTCGGTTTTACAAGTAAGACTGTAACTGTAACCTGTGTGTGTGTGTGTGTATTTGACAGTATATATACATGTGTGTATTGTTAGCCCGTCATTCATTTCTCCTATCGTCACGCGTCACAACAACTCTTGTTAAAGATACGATATCGTTGTTTGAAGCTGAAAGGACGAAAGGTAATGAATCATTACTAATGATAGTGGACGAAAACCCGATGAATAAACAAGTAGATAGATAACTAAATTAGGATATAGTGAATTTGAGGGAAATGCATACACTTAATGTATATGTGCTGAAATACCCCCTCCTTGTCCAAATTACGTCATTACGATCCCGAGGGTGTACGATATGATACCACATGTAACTGAAACATGACTCTTGGCTGGTCATAGCGCAGTTTGCAGCTATGACAGGTCGGTGTGCCGAGTAATGTCTCTCCATTACCGCTCCTGCCAAACACTCACATAAAAAAACACCCTTTCCCCTCCCAATCCCCTCCCTATGGCTGTCTCTCTATACTGGTTTAACACGTACAGGGATGGCACTGCAGTGACAATAAAACTTTTTTTTTCACTTTTTAACATCCGTTAAATGTTCTTTGACGTTCAGGAACAGTTGTTTGTATTCAACAAAATCGGAGATAAAAATTGTAATTCATGATAAACAGGGACGGAGTGTCGAGAGTCGATTTGCGGATGCCATGCTGATGAAGGCGAGATCCACTGATATGGACCCCTCAAGCGAGACCCACTGATATGGACCCCTCAAGCGAGACCCACTGATATGGACCCCTCAAGCGAGACCCACTGATATGGACCCCTCAAGGCGAGATCCACTGATATGGACCCCTCAAAGCGAGATCCACTGATATGGACCCCTCAAGGCGAGATCCACTGATATGGACCCCTCAAGAGGATATTTAATTCGTTCTTTGGGATTGTAACGGTTTAAATAATTGTTCCAATAACAACAAAGAACATTTAAAGAGAAATTATCAGTAACAAAAACAAAACAAACAAAAAAGGCACACACAAAACGAAGCGGACAAGAAATTTGTGTAATTGATTGATTTATTCATTAAACCACGTTTATTATTCAAGTATTCCCTTTCCTTTTACAACACACGTCGAACAGATATTGCTTCTGGTGTGAAGTACAATATGGTAGGTGACACTGATTTCCACTCAAGATACATTACAGAGCCTCAAAAGTAGACAAGGTCTCACAAATATTAATTTCTATGATTCACGAAGAAAGAGATAGTGAAAACATGTAAAATTTAGAAATGTTGCTTCTGTAGTATTGAGTTATAACAGGCCCTGGTTATAATAATTAGGTCAACAAACTAATTTACTGCGTGATACTAAGGAATCATGACTTTAATATAAAGTCTTTAAAACACCAGGATGATTTCTACGTAGTTGTCCAAATTGTCTACTTGTGCGATATGTAAAAGTAATAGGGAGATCAAACAAAGGGAAGTAACTCGTTTTGTCTCCAACAACGTGACAACTATTGTAGATCACGGCAGTAGATTGATTACGGAGGTCACAGATACTGGTTACAATTTATCAGTTGTTGTTGGCTAGTTAGTATCTAACGTAACTACATAACATCGTGTCAGATAAATTGCGACCGGTGCCTGTGATATTAATCACAGTTCGCTCTTGATACACAATAAAACAGAATTAACACTAAAATGATTATTATTAATACAAATATATAATTACAAAGATGATATATGTTATTGCACGTTTTGATTATGAATAACAAATAAAAAAGGAAACATTCTAAAAAAATCTGACACCGCATTCTAAATCACTGCAAACAATAATAAATTAGGTATCGGTGTCGACATGACGTATTTACAAAAAACAGGGTCACGTGAAATCTTTATCCTTCATGATTACTACACCTGATTACTGGTGATATACTTTAGACACACACATACTTAATATTAATTATAATGATAATATATATGTATGATCCACTTGCCTTTCCTTGCTTCTCCCTTCCGTCTAGATCTAGTTTCGCGAACATCTTTTAAATCAATTTTCAAAATCTCCTCCCCAAAATGTTTATGATCGAAAACTTTAGGTCTATTATTTGAAATCTGTAAGTTTCAGGAGATTATTGTATCAATATACACGTAGATGAGATAATTGTCATGACCATGTAAGACATCTTCATACATAATATCTAAATTCTTCTCCTACTGGTACAATTTTTCATGTCGGTTTCGACAAGCACGTGTGACGTCACTGGACTATTATCAATTATATATATGTCACTATTGACTTGATCGTTTTCCCCATTACGTCATTTCCAATGGGTTTTCTGTTTTAGAATAAAATATAATCATTCCCTGTATCGAAAATATGACAAGCAATATATGACATTATGTTTACACATTCAGAAATATTTTTCCTCGGGTTATATTCTTTGTACCACTCTCTTGATTTTCTGGTTAATAAACCTTAAAATATTCATCAAGTATTCATGTTTATGCGAGGATTAATGGAAAAGTGAATAGATATGCGACAACGAATTAAGATATACCCTTTTTCTTTCTCCGAGTGTGTTTACCGGTAAAAAAATCAGTATCCTTAATACTATCAACCACTCATTCTTAAGTTCTTATATTTTTTAATAATCAGAATTAAAAAACCAAAAATCTTCTCGATCCTTCTAGTGTTTGAATTCCATTGCCTACATTTAGTCGCGGTACGGAATCAATGGAACGTGATTACGTCACATGGTTATTGCTGGGCAGTAATCAACTTAATAAAAAAAACAAAAAAACAAAAAAAATACACCAACGTATAAACTGGAGGTCATTTTTTTAACCTTAAATCTATTTATGGTGCTTTTTTATATCCGGAATTTGAACAAACAGAAATATATATCCCACTTAATCTTATTGACTAGATGTATAGTATCGTCACTCAATTTCAGAGACGCACTCACTTGTAAAATATTGGGAAATCTTACGCCACATTGTTAATCTCTGTTTACTATATAAAATTCCTTAATGTTCCTTGGTCGTAGACAAAAGATTCAGTTTCTATCATGATACCGATGGGTTATTTTCTCCAGCATGACCGGAAGTAATCCAGAGGTTCGTATATTTGTGTCCCTCTGATTGTTTCCTGTAGCACCAACTAACCAGTATTTACACCAAACAGTCGAATCATGTATGGATTATTTCTAGACCAAATTCATTTTCCATATCATGCACTATTTCCAAACTACTGTCCCTTGCGCTACTGGAACTACTGTCCGTCGATGTGGCTGAGTCTACACTTGACCGCGAGGCGGCACTACTTGCTGACCTTCTTGCCCACGTGGTTTCATCGTATTCCGGTTCGATATGAATATTTTTCACGGCAGTGAACTTTTCCTTTCTGCGTAGATGAATGTGTTTCTTGACAAACTTATAGAATCTTCTAGAATCATCTCGAATCTGGAAATAAACGATAATGATACAAACAAAAAATAAACAGAGATACAGGGTAATAGACATTATTCCTGTGCTGTTTTGTAAAGTGATCGAAGACTTGAGTAAGCCATTTAAAAATATGTATTGTGTTTATAGCAAAATGAAGGAAGTGCGAGTCGAGTGCAACATAAATATTTCTTCAATAGAGTTTATGGAAATGACATTGTATTCTTGAAAGGTTAATATTACAGCAGAGCAAAAACACAGCTACAACACACGGGGATGTTATAATATATGCGGAAAAACCTACCCCGCCTACAGCGTCAGAAATAGCCTCTTTTGCGGACCTCGACTTCCGGTCTGTCTCCATGGGGATTGGTCCGTTCTCGTCAGAAACCAGTACGCTCTGGAGTTCCTGGAAAACACAAATACAGAAAAAATATTTTTACGTTGAATTTCAACGATACAGTTAAAATATTTTCATGAAAACAATAGAAAACACGTTTGTAATAATTATGTTGCCCTTTGGTTTTGAGTGTTAATAAATAATTACTAATCGTGGACCTTGCCCATTCTCGTTTCTATCGGAAATATGAGTCTCACAGAATTCCTGACCCTTGACGGAAGTGGCAGAAATATTGCGATCGAATGGATTGCTTCCCCTCCCGGCTCCGTGGTGACTTATGCTAGATCTCTGCAGTTTGGGTATTTAATCATATTTTTTTGAGAGTCCTTTTCTAAAAACACCGATTGCAAACATTTACTTCATTATGTGTTTAGATGAAGAATTATAAAATGACATCATAATTTTCAGAAATTATACTATTTTATTGTTAATGTGTCCCATTTGATATCAATATCATGATTCATCATCATGATATGAAGACTTGGCAATCCGTTGCTTTCAGGTAACTAAATTCGTTTACACCTGTATGCCCTACTCCCACCAGGAAGATGATAGTATCCAAAAACCAAGATTAGGGAAGGTGGCCGATCGATATATTGACTTCCTACCGGATAGTAATAATTTCTATAGCTACATATATGTTTGAACCTTTATTGATATCGACCCGGCGGGTGTTGGGTTTCCAATTCAATAATTACAATGTAATTAGATGTTTGTACTTTGTTACCCAGTCAAGCCCGTACAGCATGACTTTGCTGGTAAGCTTTGCTTTAATATCATAAATCTTTGATGTTTAAAAAAAAATTGAAAAAAAAAAAAAAAAACGATATCTTTAAAGCTGACCCCGAATACTTATATGATTCAACTTCTGAGTTTCCGAACGTGTTTTTGCTTGACTCCAACAAATCATTAAAGTATTATCAGAAAATATATTTAGAAGTGTAGAAACGATATTTTAATTTCGTTATCAGTTATCCATAAAATGCCAATATATTAGATGATTGACATGTATTGATCTCACCTTTATAAACACCGTCTTATATAGAACAATATTACTGAATCACTTTACCGAGTAGTATGCACGTACTTACGAAAAACGTGTCTATTTATAGATCAACGTTAACAAATCTCTATTTAACTAGTTAAATCTTGTACTCACAAGTTTATCTACAAACACGAAAGTAATATTTCCTAACAAATATTCGGTATTCATCTGTAATGATACTGGTCACTAAAAATTATATATACATCTATAATGATACTGGTCACTACAAATTATATATACATCTGTACTGATACTGGTCACTACAAATTATATATACATCTGTAATGATACTGGTCACTACAAATTATATATACATCTGTAATGATACTGGTCACTACAAATTATATATACATCTGTAATGATACTGGTCACTACACATTATATATACATCTGTAATGAAACTAGTCACTACAAATTATATAAACAACAATAATGATAATGGTCACTACACATTATATATACATCTGTAATGATACTGGTCACTCCACATTATATATACATCTGTAATGATACTGGTCACTACACATTATATATACATCTGTAATGATACTGGTCACTACAAATTATATATACATCTGTAATGATACTGGTCACTACACATTATATATACATCTGTAATGATACTGGTCACTACACATTATATATACATCTGTAATGATACTGGTCACTACACATTATATATACATTTATAATGATACTGGTCACTACACATTATATATACATCTATAATGATACTGGTCACTACAAATTATATATACATCTTTAATGATACTGGTCACTACATATTATATATACATCTGTGATGATACTGGTCACTACACATTATATATACATTTATAATGATACTGGTCACTACAAATTATATACATCTGTAATGATACTGGTCACTACACATTATATATACATCTATAATGTAATGATACTGGTCACTACAAATTATTTACTACATCTGTAATGATACTGGTCACTACACATTATATATACATCTGTAATGATACTGGTCACTACACATTATATATACATCTGTACTGATACTGGTCACTACAAATTATATATACATCTATAATGATACTGGTCACTACAAGTTATATATACATCTGTATATACATTATATATACATCTGTAATGATACTGGTCACTACACATTATATATACATCTGTACTGATACTGGTCACTACAAATTATATATACATCTATAATGATACTGGTCACTACAAGTTATATATACATCTGTACTGATACTGGTCACTACAAATTATATATACATCTGTAATGATACTGGTCACTACAAATTATATATACATCTATAATGATACTGGTCACTACAAGTTATATATACATCTGTACTGATACTGGTCACTACACATTATATATACATCTGTAATGATACTGGTCACTACACATTATATATACATCTGTAATGATACTGGTCACTACAAATTATATATACATCTGTAATGATACTGGTCACTACAAGTTATATATACATCTGTAATGATACTGGTCACTACAAGTTATATATACATCTGTAATGATACTGGTCACTACAAATTATATATATACATCTATAATGATACTGGTCACTAAAAATTATATATACATCTGTAATGATACTGGTCACTACAAGTTATATATATACATCTATAATGATACTGGTCACTAAAAATTATATATACATCTGTACTGATACTGGTCACTACAAATTATATATACATCTGTAATGATACTGGTCACTACAAATTATATATATACATCTATAATGATACTGGTCACTAAAAATTATATATACATCTGTAATGATACTGGTCACTACAAGTTATATATATACATCTATAATGATACTGGTCACTAAAAATTATATATACATCTGTAATGATACTGGTCACTACAAATTATATATACATCTATAATGATATTGGTCACTACACATTATATATACATCTGTAATGATACTGGTCACTACAAGTTATATATATACATTTATAATGATACTGGTCACTACAAATTATATATACATCTGTAATGATACTGGTCACTACAAATTATATATATACATCTATAATGATACTGGTCACTAAAAATTATATATACATCTGTAATGATATATACAAATTATATATACATCTATAATGATATTGGTCACTACACATTATATATACATCTGTAATGATACTGGTCACTACACATTATATATACATCTATAATGATACTGGTCACTACAAATCATTTACTACATCTGTAATGATACTGGTCACTACAAATTATTTATACATCTGTAATGATACTGGTCACTACACATTATATATACATCTGTAATGATACTGGTCACTACAAATTATATATACATCTGTAATGATACTGGTCACTACACATTATATATACATCTGTACTGATACTGGTCACTACACATTATATATACATCTGTACTGATACTGGTCACTACACATTATATATACATCTGTAATGATACTGGTCACTACAAATTATATATACATCTGTAATGATACTGGTCACTACACATTATATATACATCTGTAATGATACTGGTCACTACAAATTATATATACATCTGTAATGATACTGGTCACTACACATTATATATACATCTGTGATGATACTGGTCACTACACATTATATATACATCTATAATGATACTGGTCACTACACATTATATATACATCTGTAATGATACTGGTCACTACAAATTATTTACTACATCTGTAATGATACTGGTCACTACAAATTATATATACATCTGTACTGATACTGGTCACTACAAATTATATATACATCTGTACTGATACTGGTCACTACAAATTATATATACATCTATAATGATACTGGTCACTACACATTATATATACATCTGTAATGATACTGGTCACTACACATTATATATACATCTGTGCTGATACTGGTCACTACAAATTATATATACATCTGTAATGATACTGGTCACTACACATTATATATACATCTATAATGATACTGGTCACTACACATTATATATACATCTGTAATGATACTGGTCACTACAAATTATTTACTACATCTGTAATGATACTGGTCACTACAAATTATATATACATCTGTAATGATACTGGTCACTACAAATTATATATACATCTGTAATGATACTGGTCACTACAAATTATATATACATCTGTAATGATACTGGTCACTACAAATTATTTACTACATCTGTAATGATACTGGTCACTACAAATTGTACAGATATTTCTTACCTTTTTTAGCTAAAAATAGGAGATATCCTAGTCAAGTTTTTCATACAAAACTAAGATGTTCTCATTTATGAATCCATGGATAGAAATAATGCTTTGGCTCACACAATCCTTACGTTAATGGCAGAAATCCACCAGCGTGTTTCACGTAATATTGCGTGGTATAATATAACCGCTCCCCACTAATACACAACTGTCTCCAGTACACTCAAACTCAATGGTGTTAAATTTAACTGTATACATGGAACCAGCCCCCCTGGATAGGTAAAAGTTTAAATCCGTACTGTAAACACGAGCCAGTTAATGATAGGCTTCGTTATGCCGGTGGATATTGTTGTGTGACGATCACGGTACTTAATTCATGCCGAACAGATTTTTCGACAAACACAGTGATGCTATTTTCAGATTATAAGCAAGATTATATTTTCTATGTTAGATATTGTGTATTGAGAAATACACATATACGGGTATTTACACGACTAGTCAGCGTTGCTAAGAGGCACTTGTATTAATATTAGTGAGTATGTCGATGTCAAAATACAGGGCGATAGAGTGTTCTGGTCGCTTCTACAGTGTTTGTCCTTAGTCAACCAATTAATTGGTACGGTACACGAATAAAGAGCTTGTTAATTAAACAAATCAATATTTCAAACTAAATGTCATTAAAATCGGAATATCATGAAACATATTTTGTGATCGTTATATATATTTTTGAGGTGGA